TTGACCCATACAATGTTTTTTTGGCTATTGCTACAAATATACCCCAGCGACTTAAGACTGGCTTTGTGCTCCAGGGTCACATATATAAATATATATTGTGTGTGTGTTTTTATTATAAAACCCATATATATATATATATATATATATATATATATATGACCATGGCCTGCAGTCCCCACGAGGGAAAAAAATGATTAAAAATAGTAAATGATATTTATCTGAAAGTGTAACTACGAAAACAGGTTTTCTGTTTTTTTTTATTTTTTTTTATTTTAATGGTGAAGGGTAAAAAAAGGCAGTTTGCTTGTGCCATCCTGTCTGTCCACCAAAACACACAGAGCAGATGGTCCCATCAAACTAATGTCGAAATATGGCACTGGTGCCGATGGTCTGGTGTGGTATGTGTGTGTGTGTGTGTGAGATGCATTACAATCAGTCCATCACAGTGTGTGTGTGTGTGTTTTGAGGGATGCAGGACAGATGGTGGAACATTAAAGTGTGTTTGTATTTCTTGGGGCTTTGCTTAATAGAGTCACCTGGAGTGTGTGTTTTATCTGAGACTGATCAATAAGACCATCGGCTCTCTCGCATGTGTACGGCTGTCACGCTCACACTCTCCATATCGTGAGTCTGACCGCAGGAAACAGATCTGAAACGCTCCATAAGGCTTCAACCCCACTGTGTTTATCCAGAAACACATTTCCTGTGAGGCTGGTGTGTTTTATTGACAGTAGTGTGATTAGAATTATATCGTCCAGCTCCTGGATTCTGATTGGTCAGTACTGTGATCCAGCTGTGCTGGAATTCGTGATATTGTAACAGTTATGATGTTCAACATCTGTTCACCATCTCTGTGTACTATATCCAGGGGTGCTTCTTTTCATATATACATTTTGTTGCCCAAAGCAAGATTCAGATTTAATTTATGAAATTTGTTTTTGTGTTTCAAAAAGAATGTGACACAACCGGTTTGTGCTAGTATTAGACCAATCCCTGGATCGCCAAGAATTTCAACAGAAATCAATACCGTTCAGAAGTTTGGGATTGGTATAATTTTTCAAAATGTTTTTCAAAGAAGTAAAGACAGATTTGTGAAACATCTTTCAAAAAATAAAAATAAAATAAATAATAAAATCTTACTGCCCCCAAACTTATGAAGCACCAACTAGACATACCCTAGTAAAACTAATATCTGTTGACATGTTGCTAGAGACTTACTGATAAAAAAATTCTAATGAATCTTTATTTGGAGTATTACTTGTGCACAATGCACATTTCCTAATATTAAGCCTAAAATTTGTTTTAATGTCACTATTGATGAGGAATAATATCGGTCTTTAAATGCAAGATATACCAAGAGCTTGTAACACTCCAAAGAGAAAGGAAAACTTGAAATCGCATCATATGACCCCTTTAATGTATTTGTATAGCATACTTAGCATTAAATAAATGTATTTCGAATACATTGTAGTATATTTATTCTTTTACTATAGTTCCCCCCAAAAATGAAAAATCTGTCATCATTTACTCACCCTGAAGTTGTTCCAAGCCTGTATGAGCGTTTTTCTTCTGTTGAGCACAAAATAATAATTTTGAAGAATGCTAGTCACCCAAAAGTTGACGGTAGCCATTGACTTCCATAGATTTGTTTTTTCTCCATACTATGGACGTCAATGGCTACCGACAACTGTTTGATTACCAACATTCTTCAAAAGATCTTCTTTTGTGCTCAACAGAAGACAGAAACTCATACAGGTTTGGAACAATATCAAGGTGAATCAATTCATTGATTCAAGACTGAATTTTCAGATACTGTATTATTTAGACAAAAAAAATGTACTTAATGAGTTTGATTAATAAAGTTTCTTTTATTGAAAAATATTATGCACAGAAAATAATGCATCACTCGTTTGGTAAATTTCTGTTGAGGTTGTTTTTTGTTTTTTATGTGATTTATAGTTGAATGAGCGTGGTTACTGTACGGGCCACGAGCCGGACTCTATGGAGTTCAGTTCTCTGGGCGGCTGGGTGGCCACACGGGCGTCAGGCATGAAGAAAAACATCTACGGCAACATTGAGGACCTGGTATGTCTCCCATTTCTCAACACACACAGGTCTGGGACAGAGTTCACATTCACGCTCACACACTTCAGAGGTTTCATCCGCATCAGTCCTGCAGTGTAGATGTATTGTTGGAGGTCATTCAGGGTACCTGTGATCTCATGTGTTCCCAGGTGGTGCATATAAAGATGGTGACCCCTAGAGGAGTGATTGAGAAGAGCTGTCTGGGGCCCCGCATGTCCACCGGCCCCGACATACATCACTTCATACTGGGCTCAGAGGGTACGGACTCGTGATGTTTTGTGTGAGGAATGTATCTGTAAGGATCCATTTCTCAGTGAATCTCTAGAAATGTGTCAAGAACATGTTTGACGTCTGGCTTTTATTTACCCTCCAAAAAAAAAAAAAAAAATTATAATAGTGATAAAAGAAAACAAGATCTATTTTTAAGACCATGAATGTTTTTAATTTCTTGACAATTAAGAACATTTCGAACAAATCCTTAATGTTGAATAGCTTTCATTTTTTTCCCATGTAAAATTTCTCAATTTGGAGGTGAAATTACAGCCTGTTTTTATTTTTTATTAGCGATTGCACTTTGGGCGACCTCAGATTCAGTTCAAATCCTTTTTGATCCATAAATAATCAGATAAATAATTACATTTAAAAAAAAAAAAAAAAGCTACAAATGCCAACCGACAACAGCCCAAAGTATACTTCAGTTTTAATGTGAATGTTTAGCGTATGTGTACAGCTGAACACATAGCCTTTCCAAGTATACTGCATTTGAAGTGACGTGACATGTGGGTGGTTATAAGGGTGTTTATATTGTCGTGAGAGTTCTTATCAGTCACTTTTCTTACAGTCCTCTTAATCAGAGAGATTTGTTAAGCAAACTTTAAAAAAAAAATCTTTATCTAAGGTCATGTTGCCCTGTCTGGGCTTCTCTTGCAGAGCTGCAGTCATATCAGCCTGAAGCCATTCTGACATTTTTTTCAAAGCAATAATCAGTATTCGATAGGAAGAGACCAACATGTAAAGTGACAGTTAAAGATATATAAATTGAAAACAAATTATACAGTGCACAATTAAGCAAACTGAACATTAAAGGAATAGTTCACCCAATTTTGTTGAAAATTTACTCGCCCTCAGGCCATCCAAGATGTATAGTGTTTGTTTCTTCATCAGAACAGATTTGGAGAAATGTAGCATTACATCAGTTGCTCAGCAATGGATGCTCTGCAGTGAATGGGTGCCGTCAGAATGAGAGTCCAAACAGCTGATAAAAACATCACAATATTCCACACCACTCCAGTCCATCAGTTAACATCTTGTGAAGAAAAAAACGGTGTGTTCGTAAGGAACAAATGCATCATTAAGGTACTTTAGCTTTAAACCATCACTTCTGGCCAAAATATGACTCTATAATCCATAACAACGCTTCCTCCAGTAAAAAAGTCCCATCCCCTGTGATGTTTTTATCAGCTGTTTGGACTCTCATTCTCTCACTGCAGAGGATCCACTGGTGAACAAGTGATGCAATGCTACATTTCAAGCAAACTCATCTACACCTTGGATGGTCATTTTTGGGTGAACTATTCCTTTAAGTTCCTCAAGTCTTGGAAAACTTTGGTAAGTCCATAGTTCTTCCTCCCAGAAGTCATGCCATCTGACTGAAACGTGTGATTTTCAAAAGTGCTTTCCTGTTTTGTGTGCAGTCAGATGATCAGCGACGAGAGTCTGAAACTGAGACTGTGTTTTGGCTTTCCTGTGAGCCAGTAGAGGGCAGTGAAACCAGCTTTTAATGCCTGTCATGATCTAATGTTTCTTGTACTCTCCTCAGAGAGGGCAGCAAGTCAGAACTATGTGCTTGATATCTTATGTGTGTCATGATGCTGTTTAAACGTATCACCCTTATCCAAAGAAAGGATGTTGTTATTAATTTGTCTCTCTAAAAAGTAATTTAGCCGTTCATGAAGCCCTGAACTGACCTGAAAATGGGTCATAATCGTTGTGTTTGATAAAATGGTCTGTGAAGCTTTTTATGGCTCATTTGAATTCTTTGTGGGAGGATGAATATTTCCCGGGATTAATCTGCATCAATTAAACATTCATGATTCCATTAGGAAGGACATCTGGCTTCTTTAATGGCTTTGTAATGTCAGGGGCATTTAGACACTTAAGAAAGGCCCATTTCACCTTTTCCCCCTCTGACACGCTAAAGTTCAGATGACTGAGTTATTGTTGTTGTTTTTACGGGGGTCATGAGATCTTTAGATGTAAGGATTCCCGTCTCAGAGGTGTGAGTGTGAGTGTGTGTTTGATGGTAAACTGGGATATTGGCATGTTTAAAGGAATATTCAGGGTTAAATATAACCTAAGTGATGTCTGTTATCATTGTAAAGATATCCTGTTAAATTACAGTAAAAAAAAATCATCATAAAATTGTTACTTTGACAATGTTTGAGATATTACGGGATTGCATAAACTTTTTTTAGAATTGTAAATTTTATTGAGGGATATAGTGTTAATATACCAAGTTACTACCATCTACCAAAATCTGCTTTGTAGCCTAGAATGTACTGATAACCACCATAATAATATAGGTGGTAAAATAGAAAGCCACTTGATGAATTGGAGTTCATCGTAAGTATCCTGTTTGTGAAACATTTCCACTACTATTGAATAGAAAATAAACAGGGACTGGGACACACACAAAGGCAAAACACCATTATGGTAACACTCATTACTCTAAAATATGCAACAAACATTGATAGATTGTAACGCAAAACACCCTAAAGGACACTCCTGATAAAAATAAGAAAAAGTGAACTATTTAAATAAAATATAATCATATGTGCTGTGTCATGCAGGGACTTCTGGGAATGTGTCTTTACTGTTTTTGATATGGTAATTCATATAGTTGTCATAATGAGTAGATATCATAATGATACAGTAATTCACAGCTTATACTTTCAAAAGCCATTAATACAGTATTTTACAGTAAAGTTACGTATGTGATGTTAAACCATTTACATTTAACTTCTGTTTTCTACCCTAAATGATCTGGCAAATCATAGTTTTTATTTCCAAAAAACATACATTTGACAGTACTTTGTAGTAAAATTACATATAAATCATCTACTTTTACTGTTTGCACCATAATTTATATGATAAGTCTGTTTTACTCCCAAAGACATAGATTTTACAGTATTTTACAGTATAATTATGTAGGTGATGTTAAAACATTTACAGTTTTTTGCCAAAAATTATGATAATTCAGTTTTCCCTTCCAAAAACTATAATTTTATTGTATTTCACAGTAAAATTACATATACTGTGATGTTAACTATTTACTTTTTACTATTTTTCACCATAAATTATACATTAATTCATTTTTACTTCTAAAAACTATACATTTGGCAGTATTTTACAGTATAATTATATAGGTGATGTTAAAACATATACCTTTTTTCGCCAAAAATTATATGATAATTAATTTTTACTTCTAAAAACTATAAATTTGGCAGTATTTTACAGTAAAATTCTATATAATGCAACGTTAAACCTTATATTTTTATCATGTATGATAAGGTAACTTACTGTTACTGTTAGTCTTTTTCTTTAAAAATTACAAACATGAGTTGTACCAGTTCTTCCAGTATTTTGGCATTGTAATGAAGACTATGAGTGAAGGATGAGGATGAGTGGCGTGTTGTTGCTGAGGTTTGTTCTGCTCACATACGGTCTCATTGATGGGTAGCATAAACTCTCCACAGGACTTTATCACCAGTGTTGCACACACACACACGCACGCTCGCTCTGGGCTGTCAGTAATGAGTCTAGAAGCCCAGTCTCAGAGCAGCAGATGCAGGGCTTCCCTCAGGGGTCAGAGGTCATGCTGGTTTGTGCCCTCGGTGGCTCTGCTCTCCCCCCAGTGTGCCGTTTGATACTGACCTGCTTTATGTCACAGAACACAGTCTGTAAATCTCTCTGCTTCCTTTTGGAGCGGAAGAAACTTGAGCGTTCAGGTGAAAATGAACACGCAGATCTCCTGCAGAGAGCCAGGGGCTCCATTCATATGTGTGTGTGTGT